ACGTCTTGCACCCAGCTGAACACATGGTCAAAAGAGACCAGAGGATAAGAGTGAACGGAAGCCATATGCTAGGGCGAACTTTCTGGATGATGAGACCATGGGGTATCTGGCCGACAACGAGACTGCGAAGCTGTCAGCTAGAGTGCTATGACACACTGGCACACTGAACGGACCCCGCAGTGAAAATCGACAGCAAGATGCTATACTCATTGCCTTTGAGGCCGATGTCTTCGCGGAGACCAGCGACGTAGGCATTGGCGAAAGCCTGGCGATCCAGGTAGTTGAAGAAGTAGGCTGCGCAGCAGAACACCTAGTCAAGACAGTCAGATATCATGAGTTGTCGAGGTCTGCGACAGTGCCGACCATGATGAAGATGTCTAGTCACATGAAAGTTAGCATGGTTGTGCCATGGGGATAAAGATGCTCATACCAAGCTTCACAACGAGCTTCCTCTCCAAAACTTTCTTCGCATCGCCAGAGTCGCTGGCCCTGAGCCCTGCGCACTAGCATTAGCATCCAAACAGCCATACATTTCTGGAACCATAAATTCCTCACATCCTAAGGCACCCATCTTCGGTTTTGTACGTTGGTGGATCAGATAAAGCGACGATTATCAGATTGATTAGTCGTGGTACCAATCGCCCAGTTTTAATCCATCTGATAGCACCCGCGTGGGGCCAAGGCCTGGCCTCGGAGCCGGCGTATTGGCACGGAAGATTCTTCGCGCTTGATGATCGTCGACCGAGCATCGGCCCGTTGTTAGGGTGAAATAGGGCCTTGGCCTCGTGTCGAGACCGGGTGTTCTACCAAGAACATCACTCTGGTCCTTTGATCTGCTGATTTCCCAGTCATGATCCATGCTTACCGTTCCCGTTGAGCCCAGAGACTTGAGCGGATGGAGTCACTTCTCCATCACGGCGGTCGAGCTTTGCGTTTATGTTACGTTCTCCGCGGGGTGTGGGCTGCTTTGCGTTTATGTTACGTTCTCCGCGGGGTGTGGGCTGCTTAATGCGAGCGAGCAACCCTCAAACTATTCCTCACATGTTTCTGTCCCGACGGAGTGGTAGCTGGGTCTGGATTTGACACGATGCATATGCGTTTGAACAGAATGGCCGCGGTATGCGCGACACAGGGAACCATCACTATTCCATTCGCCAACTTCCTACCTGGAGAACGGGAGAAGCTGTAAAGCTGTTCATGCGTACCGGAGTAACCTTCGGTGAGCGACTCTCTGCCTGTGGCCCATTTAACCCGCGTTTTAACCGCGTTTGCTCAGACTTGGCCTTGAGCGTAAGCAGTGACCCTCTTCATGAAGGCAGACTGCCGCGTACACCCAGTGCTAGGTGAGCGGTTGTTGTTTATCTCTCATAAGACAAGATGTGAACGCGGAGAATGTTCAGTCGGGAAACAACCCATGCCAACCACCTGATCTCACGACAATCTGTAACGCTTGTCTAGATGAAGGCCTCACCTTAGTTCCCCCTGCTCTTCAGCTGACGAGCACACGGCCGCAAGGTAGCAACCAAAGCGCATTCGCTATACAACACACAGAACTTCTGACATCTTCCAGCATATACAGGCCAAGATCTCGTCATCGTCAAAGCCGACATAGGCTTTTCAATCTCTGCTCCCATGAAACGACAAAAATCGCAAATGTGGTCTTTTCTCCAATACACTCATCATATCATCACGAGCCCTAGTCACCCTCCTGGGTTCCCATGACAATGACGAGGTTTGCTACAGTGAGATACGTAATACAAAGCTTCAGCCCACAAGCTAGACCAACTTATCAGTTCTAGCAATAGGGCTACACTAAAATGTCTTCTAATGCTCAAGGGGGCGCCAAGCGTGGCCCCTCTCCTGTACCTTCCAAAGACAATGTTCCCAAACTTGTTCGCCCTAAATCTGATAACTCTGACCATACCGATCACCCTAGCGAGGAAGGTGACTCAATGTCGACTATCGAAACCACGAGCACTGAGAGTGTCGAATTTGATGATGAAGACCAACCCAGCGATGAAGAAAGAGGGGTGCCGATCGCAGAACCACATGATTCGCCTAGACACGTCGTCCGCGAGGGTGATGAAGGAAATGAGGGAGAGATCCGGGAAGCAAACCAGGAAGCGAACCCCGGGGGAAATCCAGGAGGAAATGAAGAACGCGATTAGGGATTCCCTCGCTGTAGACTAGTCTGGTGATGAAGCCAGGCTAGAGCTGCAACAGGCGTCAGACCATCATAATCACGTTCACGTAGAAGAAGAATGGTTTAACGGATAAGTACAAGAGCTTGGTGATCTTTGTAGTGCATTGTGCTATCGCAGTCTCTAACACATTGCTTGGATATATTTACCTGTTGACTATACCGGTCATACACACGTCTGACTGTGATCTAGTCTTCTATACTAATCCCCGTCGGCTATCATGCCACTCGTCTCAGCGTTCGCGACGCGGAGTCCTTGGACCAGAACGATCCACGCCACCTGGTCTCGACCAATCATCTTCTGAATCATACGGAGCATCCTCATATGGAAGACCATCACGCCTCCCGTACGAACGATCCCGGTACTCATCCATAGCGCCACTGTCACTATGCGGGGCGACGCGGCGGCGAGGTGAGCGAGATCGACGGTGAAGCGAAGTTGGTCCATATGAGTACTGCGGCGAGGTCGGTCGATACTCAGGCGAAGTTGGTCCATACTGAGGTGAGGTTGGTCGACAGTGAGACGAAGCTGGCCGATAGAATGGACTACGAGGTGCTTCATTGTCGCGTCGCTGTGGTAGTGGAATTGCGTTCTGCCCGGTTGCAACTGCAAGGCCTTGAGGTAAAGTTGGCCGGTAAGAAGGACTGTGACCGTAGTGTGGGTTACCTGGTCCCTGATCGTCGCGCCACTGTGTTTGTGGGTTCGCAGGCTGTGCGACTGGGACTGCGAGATCTTGACGTGGTCGGTCTTTCCGCTCCTTTTCCCCAAAGTCCATCTTTCCGATGACGTCGATGTTCTGCTGTCCACTCCCAGTGTTGACGTTCTGGTTGTACACTGGCGCTGTCATGCGCATGTGCGTATTGCCATGTGGGCCCTTCAATGTCTGACTGCGACCACCGGGCTTACCATCGCCGGCCGTCTTGTTGGTAACAGTATCATTGATCGAGAACTTCTGCTGTCCAGCCTCTCGGTTTAGACGATGCTCTGGCTCGGTAGGGATCTCGTACTCGGTTGGCGCAGCGCCGGTAGCTGAGGGTGGCGGAGGTTCAAATACGCCATAGACGTTGATGTTCTGCTGGCCAGACCCGCTGTTGATGTTTTGGTTGTAGATTGGCGCGCTGTTGGTGAGGAAGCTAGTGGCGAATGGAGCCTCGATCGACTGAGAATGGCCATGGCCGTGTGGACCATTCTGGGAGTTAGTGACGGTGTTTTCCTCTTTAATGTGACGGACACGACCAGACTGATCCACAGCCTCGGCTTTCTGTTCTATCTTCCTGGAAGGCGGTGGTGGTGGTTGAATAGGCTCACGCTGTTGGCGCTTTGACGGATTCGGGGCTGGTGCCGTAGAACTTGATCGCTTCCCACCGTTTCGCAAAACCATCTCTTTGCCATCGGCTTCGTTCTCCCCACCTAATGACATATCGAAAGGTCGAAGGCCAAACATCCTCCGAGCATCTTGAGCGACGCCCAACATGCTGTTGCGAACTTCCTGAGACTCTTTCCAAGCTTCCTTTTCGACAGCCTGGGTGAGATTGTTTGCATATGAGATCTCTATCTGTGTCGGTCGTCGGACTTCTTTACGGATTTTGGCTATCAAAGACTGTAGATGACCTTGATTAGAGGTGGGTTGGTTGGTCGTTGTACCCATTGGAGCCGCCATATTTGGTGTACTTCTGATCTGAAGCTAGGCTGTGTATCGAGTTGGAAGCCGGTTGATAAAATGCTGGCGCAAGGTTAGAGGAAGGCACCAGAAAGCTTTTCTCCTCCGTAGGCAGAAGCGTGAAATGCGAAGCAAGAGATTTCACTTAATGAAGTCCCCCCATTGTTTGTTCATCGAGTGTTTCCTTGTATCGATCTAAATCCACGTGCGCTTGTTGAGGTTGTTTGACCAGATGGTATAGAATGGTAAAGACCGAGTTGGCGTACATCGCGTTTGGCCCATGTCGTTAGACATGTCTCAACAGCGTTCGCCACACAGGTGTATCCATTGTTTTGATCCGCAGCCTAAGTTAGCGTTCACCGTATAGGAGTGCCGCTCGTGTGCTCCATTCGTATGAGTAATCATCAATGGACATCTCGTCGTTGTTGCAGGGGATATTGCAATCAGCGATAGTAGATTGATGAATGGAGATGGAGTGAAGGCTGAGATTTGGCAGGATCGCTCCGGAGATGGCGCGGAGATAAGCACACCAGCAACCTGGACTTCGCAGCACTACAGCATCCATGAGTTATAGGCCCCATAGCATTGATCGCGGGATAAGTATGGAGATCTCGCGCCTCGATCAAATAAGCTCTTGTTGCTCCTACCAGCCGCCCTTGCTGCATCATCGCCGGCTTTCCCAAACCGTGCCTTCCTCGCGACGTCATCCCCCCTTGTCCACCTCCGCACCTGCAGATCACCCCATCCTACCCCAGACGCGCATATCTACGCGACCATACAACGCCACCAATAGCTCGGCAAGGCTTCCAACGGTACCATTGCGTCTTAATCATTCGCCAGAGCCTCTTCAATAACCCTTGCCCCGCAATTACTCCGTCAATTATGCGCGCAGGCAACTTGTGATAACGGCGATTTTGCCGACTGACCATCTTTTGTGACGTCGGGGTCAGATCTAGCATGCTGCGTCTATTCGGGTGATATGATCCGGGTAGCGAGCGGTGAGGTATGAAGATGTAGGTATAGATGCATGGGCCCGGCGCACAAGGTACTCCAGTCTTCTTTGCATACCCCATCACCTCCATTGCGCGCGTGGCATCCCGCCACTCAATTCCAGTGGACGTGACAAGACCCCGTCCACGATGTTTCACACCCCCCATTTCAACTGGTACGGTCGCGGCTTTAAACTCCGCGCCGCCATAACAATCGCCTGCCAACTCGCCTTCGTTCTTTTCGGCTACGACCAAGGCGTCTTCAGCGGCATCGTCGGCAACGAAGACTTCCTGAACACTTTTGATCACCCCTCACCCGGTCTTGAAGGTATCATCGTGTCGATATATAATCTTGGTTGTTTTACCGGATGTATTCTCAGCTTTATGTTTTGCGAGAAGACGGGACGGAGGCTGGCTATGTGGATTGCTATGGTTTGGATTATCGTAGGTGATGCATGGCCGGTGGTGTGGAGATTACGGCTAATGAGAACAGGTCGGCGGCGCGCTCCAAGCGAGTGCGTACTCGGTGCCGCATATGATGGTTGCGCGGTTCTTAACAGGAATTGGGACGGGCATCGAGACATCAACTGTGCCTATGTACCAATCTGAACTCTGCGAGGCGAATAAGCGCGGTCGTCTCGTCGCGTCGGAACCGCTTTTCGTCGGCGTGGGGATCGAGCTGGCGTACTGGTTCGACTATGGGATGTCTTTTACGGAAGGATCGATTGCGTGGCGTCTACCAATTGCATGCCAGGTTATCTTCGCGATCATCGTCATCGTGCTGGTTTTTGGCCTCCCTGAGTCGCCCCGGTACTTGTATGCGCATGGTCGCCACGAAGAAGCGCTCCAAATCCTTTGCGATGTCTACGATGGTACGCCCGATGATCCGAAGATTGAGAAAGAGAACAGAGAAGTGCTTGAGGCTTTGCAAGTCGAAAGAGAGCATGGGGAGTACAAATGGTCGCAACTTCTCAAAAAAGATCGTGTGCAGACTGGACGTCGTGTATTGCTTGCCTACGGCGCGCAGTTCATGAACCAGATGGGCGGTATCAATTTGGTGGTCTACTACTGTTGGATGAAACTAGAAGCTTCTAGTTAGAGGGTAGGTTTGTGTTATAGCAAACACAAACACTACTTCTTAGGTACATAAGGGGGGTAGGGCTTTACTCTACTCTATCATCTCATTCTACATCAATTCATTGAGTTCAACAACTACATCACCTCCGTCCTAGAAGACAACGTCGGCCTTGACAGAAACCTCGCCCTCCTTATGGGAGGCGTGATCAACCTAATGTTCCCGATCGGCTCCCTCTTCCCAACCTTCACACTGGACCGCACCGGCCGGCGGAAACCCATGATGTGGGGCTCTCTCGGGCTCGGCTTATCCATGATGATGATAGCCATCCTCTTGAGCTTCCGGTCAGAGGGAGGCGACGTGTCGCAAGCCACTGCGTCCGCCAGTGTCGCTTTCTTTTTCACTGTAAGCAGAATTGCGTCGCATTAGGAATGCAAAGCTAACAAATCTTAGTACATGCTGGCGTTTGGTATGACAATGAACTGCATTCCTTGGGTCTATGTACCCGAGATCCTACCGCTACATGTACGAGCGAAAGGTACAGCTGTCGGGATCTCAGCAAACTGGATTTGGAACTTCTTCGTCGTCATGGTCACGCCTACGCTTCTCGATAGCTTGGCGTGGAAGGGCTACCTTATCTTCATGGCGCTGAACTTTGCGTTCATACCGCTAATCGTATGTATTCGAAACGATACCGCAACCTCTATTCGCTAACGTGTTGTGTAGTATTTCTGCTATCCTGAAACTGCCAATCTTACGCTGGAAGAGGTCGACTGGCTATTCTACAAAGGCGATGTCGTGAAGCGAAGCCGACGTATTGCGAAGGAAGGATGGGAACAAGCGGTTGGCACCGATCCTGCGACTATGGTGGAGACGGGTAGTGTGTCCAGCGGTAATAAGGCCGGACACACGACGGAGAAGGCAGAGCACAAGGTGCACTAGTCCTCATTGGCATTCCAACTGGGACGATGTGACTGCGCTCCTACACCATCGAGTACTTGGTATCAGTCATCATACTCACCTTTGATCAATGCGATGGATTGATGTCTATATCAAGCATCCGCATGCATTGCGGTCAAGAGACAAAAGACAAGCGAATGAGAAAGTGAACGTAGAACCAAGGAAAGGTGATATAGTCTATATGATGTGCGAACCTACATATCGTACAAGGTGGTGATGTATACTACAATGACTTCTCGGCAACCTTGGCGGCCTCGAGTCGTGACTTCATATGAGGAGCAGTGTGGGATCCCGCGCTCTGCGGCTTCATGATCTGGCGAAGGATAGCGCGACGTGGCATGGTAATTCTGCTGCAGAGAACGACCGCTCCAGTCAACAAAGCAAGAGCTCCAGCTTGATGTGCGGAAGCCAACCACGTAGGGACCATGTAGATCAGCGTGCTGATGCCGAGGGTGACCTGGAGAGTGACGAGATGGACCATGCCTTGGACGCCCTTGTGGGCATCCTTGGTAAGCTTAGTCCGCACACTCTTGCCGAAGCGAGTGTATGCGAAGAGACTCATGATGGCAGTGAAGGTAGTTGTTGCGAGCATGCGGTGATCAAGCTGAACGAGAGACGGGTTCTCGAGCATGTTGCGCCACCATAGGTCTGATTGGTCTGGGACGTGGCTGTAGAAGGGGTCGAATAGTTCTTTCCTGGGTGGGGTGAGACCCATACCCATCCACGGGAACTCGTTATAGATGAGACCGGCATCGAGACCAGCGACAAGGGCACCTGACATGGCAGTAGTGAAGACGAGAAGAGTAAGACCGAAGACAGAGCGTCTGAAGATGCGGAGTGCAGGGTGCTGCAGAGTCTTGATGGTCTCTGCCGCCTTGACTGGGTCGGCCAGCATGCGATTCTCTTTGAGAATAGAGAGACCAGTGTATACCATTGAGCAGTAGACGGTGAATGCAGCGCCCAGATGGGCAGTCAGGCGGTACTGGCTAACACGGGGGTGGCTACCAGGTTCAAAGAGGTCGTCCTTGAGCCCACTCTTGACCATCCACCAGCCGATCACACCCTGGAAGCCGACCATGCCACAGATGCCGACGAGCTTCCAGGCCATTGAGGGTGCTACCCTGCGACGTGCGATGAAGTAAGCGGTTGGTACGAGCATCGTGATGCCAATGACGCGGCCCCAGAGCCGATGAGCCCATTCCATAAAGTAGATTTGTTTGAAGTCGGCCATGTCCATACTCGAGTTGAGCTGGGCAAATTCAGGTGATGCTTTGTACTTGGTGAACTCGCTGTCCCATTCGGCCTGGCTCATGGGCCAGAGGGAGCCGGTGACAGGGCGCCATTCGGTGATGCTCAGCCTGTTCAACTTAGCAGGTGCGGTGGAGGAGGTGACGTCGGTGCCTACCCAGACTCTGTGAGACGAGTCAGACCACCAAACACGACTATACCGAAAACGCTCGCAGCACTGCCCAGCAGCCAGTATGCGACGCTCTTGGAGGTTGTCTTGGGGAAGCTGCTCGACTGGCTCTCAGTCTTGGTCGCAGCTTCCGCGAGTATCGCCCGTCCCGCATTCGATCCCTCGATGGTCGCGGTACTGCGGAGAGGCTGGGTGGATTTCCACCTCACCGATTGCAGGACGGAGGGTCGGGATGAAGATCGTGAAGCGGAGACGGCGGCTCGAATCGGCGAATTGAGGCATGGCCTGCATACGAAGAGGCGTCGTGAGAGGCGTGGAGCAGCAGTCCGCAGCTGCGGAAATGCCTGGAATATTGAAGCCATTACAGCGACATCTGGGGAGAAAGGAGGAAGTTTCAAGGGCAGCGAGTGTACATGTAATCGACTTTGACTCTTCGGTGGTTCGACGGCGCGGCGGCGCGCCAAGAACGAACCCTGCATATCCACGCCCGTTGACAGGCGGAAGCGACGACCCACTCCGCAGGTTCGCAACTGCATCACCGGACCCCTCCTAGTGAAGATCGCCATTTGGCGTCTGCCGTGCTGGCAGCGTGATGCGCCCAGCCTCCACCGTATTTTGCGACCACTATCTTCCCTTCTCCTATATGACTTTCACCGTCTCTCCATTGCGTACGTGACCATCCCGTGTTATTAGATCCGGCGTGCACTGCGTTACCCCACCCGCCCCGGTCGCATACCCAGCCGTCGTCGACCACCACGCCCCATGTACTTCCAAAGCAGCTTATAGCATAGCATGGATCCCGCCCATCAACCACCCACAGGTCACGGGAACAACAACCTCGATCATGAGAATGAGCCGCAGATTGGTGGATTAGAGCGCAACGAGACATGGCCGTTGGGCGAGGGAGAGCGTACAGAGGGCGGCGCAGGCTCGAGTAGTACCCCATACGTCAGCCTCTTCTCGCCCAATGTACCCGCCATACCACCATCTGCGCCGTCCGACGTCCCCGACAGTCCCAGGGCACACGTGAGCCACTCGAGGTCTCTCAGCTACTCGCGCTCGATGCCGTCACTGGCCAACTACTCCAGCATGACATCGCGTGCGTCCAGAGCTCACGGTCAAGAGGAACGACCGCCCATAGTTCAGCTGCAAACCCGGATAGACCAAGCCCAAAAGAGCGCCGATGATCCAAACACCCCGTTGGAAGAACAAGGCAAAAGGCGCACGACGTTGGACCTGATGCGTACAGAGCACTCTGTTCGCACCGACATTAGTAGGTTGTTTAGCGAGAGCGCGGCCATGCCTGGAACCAGGGCACCTTCCTACAACAACGCGACGGGACCATTGTATTTGCGAGGTGAGTATCATTATGAAATTCCCCTGTGTACAGGCTAACATTGTCAGTTTCAGGCGAAGCCATACCTCTTCCTGACCACCTTTACACCCGCGGGCTGCTCGAAGGCCGACACTCGGACATTACTATCATCGCCTTTGGCCAGCGATATCCTCTGCACCGCCTCATCCTCGACCGCGCACCCTTCTTCACGACCGCCCTCTCTGAGCCTTGGCTCGAAAGCCGGTCCAAGGAAGTCAAACTACACCCGGAAGAGATCGATTCCAGCATTACGCAAGCATCGTTCGAGTTGGCTATACGTAAACTTTATGGCGTCGACATCTCGAAAGAATTGGACGCTGAAGCCATTGGTCTCTTCGCGACTGGCTGCTGGCTAGAGATGCAGGACCTCATCGACTCTGCGATCGAATCCATACTGCGGCAGATGGCACCGGAGACGCTTGCCTACCTCATCCGCTTAGTCACCTCCAACTACTATGGCCGATCTGGAGACCGCATACTTGAGTCGGCCAAGGCGATGCTAAGTAGGAACGGTTGGGAAATGCCTCTTAAATACTGGGACGATATGCCCGGCGACATAGTCCGTGAGCTTGTAGGGTCTGACGGGTTCTTTGTGGATAGCGAGTGGGACCGCTGGGTACTTTCCAAGCGTCTTCTCGACCGCCGGCTACGTCAAGCAGCCATCGAGGCTGGCCTTATCCAGCGGGGACAGAGGCCCATCCCACAAGCACCCAACTCTCTTCGTCTCATGGCAGTTCGCTTCGACGGTGTTTATCGACAGAACGCCTTGACAACGGCGCATTCCTCGTCCGACGCGCAGGCTGACTGGCTTGCTCTCTACACGCTGCCGGACATTGAGCGCATACTCGTGTTGCTAGACGAAGGTATCCACTACATTCACATGGAATACGAGCAGCTTGAATTTATCAGGAACGCTCGCGACGTGTTTGGCCTACCAGTGATGCCCGAAAGGGTCATCTCCAATGCGCTATGGCAGCAACTGGCCCTCCGCCAGAGGGTGCTCAACACCGATGAGTCTGCTCAGGAGCTGGGTCTATGTCAATCAACTCCAGATCCCGAAGAAGCGAATGTGGCGACGAAGACTGGGAGCGAGCTCACTAACAAAGGAAAGCAAAAAGAGATGGCAGATCCTATCGACGAAGGCGACATCGAGTCGGATAGTTGGGACGGCAATGGCAAGCCACGGAAATTTTGGATCCCAAGCTCGGACTGCAACATTGTCTTGGGCAACGGCGCAGATCCTGTTGTTACGACATCCAACTCTTTTCAGCGCCATGCTTCACGCCTATCAGCTACGATACAGCCAGAGGATGCGCAATGGGCCACCGACTTTGCCTCTACTCCGTCGACATTGACGAACCCAAATACTCGCATGGACTTTGCCCAACGCCCAATCTCTGCTGGTGGCGGCAACGCTGGTCAGCCAAAACCAATCGCTTACACCGAATTTCCACCATTCCGCTTCTCGGCTGAGTTTCCTAATCCACGATTCCTCAAAGAGAAGAAGCGCGTCTATTCGAGGACGGTATCCTACGCAGGCTCTCTGTGGAACATCTACATTCAGAAAGTTCGCTCTGCCAAGAATATCCAGTTGGGTGTATATCTCCACCGTGCCAAGGAGCGAGAGGTAGATGAGGCTGGACATGTCAGTGGTCTCAGCCAACAGAACAACGGCTCGGTTGATGAGCGTATCGGCCAGCTAGAGCGCGAGATGCTCATGCGTAGTGACCGACGTGATCGGCGGCGCAGCACCCGAGTTCCGTTCATGGATCCTGCTGCTGAAGAGGATACCTCTGGCAGTGGTGGAGATCCCGACCCTGCTCTCGGCTCTCTGGGACTGCGCAACCCACTCTTCTCTAGCGGCAGTCTTGGTCGCCATCGTAGTCGTCTACCCACTCGCGGTATCCCACAATGGGGCTTCCAGAATCTGGCCTCTTCACCACCCCAAGACGGCGATACCATAGACTCTCCCTCCTTCGCTAACGCTCCCTACTCGCCATCCGAACACGACTCAGACCCATCCGATGACGACGACGAGTCAGACGCCGCCGCCTACATCAACCCCTCTCTGGCCTCTAGAGTACAGCGCAAAACGCGAGCCGTCATACCCGCACTCCCTCCCTATGTCGACGGCCGACCCACAATCAAAACCTATTTCAAGATCTATAGCCCATCTAAGGGCGGAAGGATGCTCAGCATCTACGAAAGCGCGCCTGACCGCTTCAACTTCAGTCAGAGCTGGGGATGGAAGAGCAGCACTTTGATGCTGGACGAAATCACGATCAATAACGGCGGAGATGATACCCTGGCTGGTGCCAACCCAGCTGCAAGTAAGAAGACGGATGGCAAATTGAGATTCATGGTTGTTATCGGCAATTTGTGAATGGCGTATGTGGGTGGAATGGTACCTATGGGATGGATTGGGATGGGTTCTGGGTTTTGGGGGTATGCATCAGCGATGGGTGTTTTGATACAGGCAATAAGGACAAGGCGTCTCGGGTTTATGGTGGTGATGGTTTAGATACCGACTTCTACCTATGCACATTTATAGTTTTCGCATCGACTCGCGCACAAAAGTGAGGTAGTAGTCCCTGTGATAGCATGCGCTAGCAGCGGACCGAGGCTCAGAAAGATCGCGGCTGTGACGCGTTGACGCGACTGCTCGGTCCATCGAGACTACGTGCCGTCACGTCAGACACGACACATCTACTGATGTTCTTCTCCGCAAATCCCGACCCATCTACTGAAACAGCAGACCTCGCAATTGTACCCAAAACCTTCCGTCTTCCAGCGCTGGCGTACAACGGCGCGTGCGGAATGCACCGGGTGGACACTTGCAAGAACAATCACAGCAGTCCGGGACACGTCATCACGAAACTTGAGCCTTGAGAGGTCAACCGAGCTATATTTCATTGGTTCCAGCTTGTGCACTAGAGCTATCTGTTATCAAGTACATGATACCGACAATCGAGCTGTTGTGCAGAAGCAGCAAGCACTTTTGCTGGTCTCCCCCCACCAACTTCCACCTTTATCCTCACTCAAGCTTACAACACAGAAGGCTGTCTTCCGCTGAAAATCCGAGTACCCGGCAAATGAACACGGAAAATGAACTCCAACGCGTCGTCAATACGAGCCAGAGTCTCCTGCACACGATCGTTGAACTCAGGAGACCTGTCAACGTCCCATCGCTCCTCCTCTAAACCCGCACCTAGATTGTGCAGACAGATAGGTCCAAGATTTTGAAGCTGTTTGCGAGGAATCGGGTGTACGGCATGCACGACTCGCTCGGTGATCTCGCTCTTCTCGGGGAATTGGGCCTTTGCGCGGGGATCGACTACAATGGACGTCTTGGTGTAGAAAGGAGATTCGACGACGAGATCGCGGGTGATATATCTGCTCCACAGAGTGACGACTTCTTCGAAGTCTTGAGCGGCGAACTTCCGCAGTTGCATGGGGCGAGTGGGCGCGATCATGCCAGGCGCGGTGCCCGAAGCAACTCCACTAGATGTACCACGCGCGGAAGGGCGAGTTGGAAGTTCTACTAGAAGGCGTGCGGTCGAGGGCTGCGCGAGAGTCTCGGGGCCGGGAGTCGGCATGGGTGTGGTGGGCGGGTTGCTCATGTTGTAAGGTATTGCAGTAACGGTGTTTGGACGTGTGGTTGATGTTGGTGCTTTGATGCGTTTCGCAGTATGGTAATGAGTCTTGGTGCAAAGAAGTATTGAGGATGCTGGTTGTGTTGAGCAAGATGTTATCTATCTACTGACTTTATAGATCTTCTGCTACCGATTCGCTGTTGGTAACAGCTCACGATGCAATACAAGTGTTCGCGTGAGTTTGTTGGCCGCCGCTGCTTTGCTGGCTTTGCACGATTCGTTCCTGGTCTGGATCGAGTCAACCAACGCTGCCTCGACGGAATTTTGGTCGCCATATCTGCTGACTTTGACAACAAGAGCTTGGTACTGATCACTTCAGCAAACCAAACCAAAGTTTATCACGTTCCTTTCCAACGCTACTTGCCATATTACTGCTTTACAAAGGAAGCAGCCGCAGTCGATCTGCACAACTTCTCAAAACAAAACTTCACTTCCTGGCAATACGTAAGTCGGGAGCATGGCCTTCCAAGTTCGTCGCTGCATATAGCTCGTCTAACGAACGGCATCAACGAAAAGAGGAAACGCGCCATGAGGCGGTTGAGGCTCACAGCGAAGCATTCAAGGGATTGTTCAATTAAGAAGACACAGTACTTGACAACGCTGATCCAAACCCGACTCATTCATGACACTTAAACCTGACCAACGTAACCCACACAATCACATGAATACATCCTCCTTCTCATGCATAATTTGCCCAATAGATTCCACCGTCTCACACATTCGTCTAGCGAGCTCACCATCAGGCTGGATCCTCTTCTCAGTCCAGCAGCCGAACAAGAACTCCAACTGATCTTGCGCAAGGCTTCGTAGATAACGCGTTGGTACTGGATGAACGGCGTGGAGGGTTACATACTGCTCCGCCTGTTTTTAATCAGCATGTATATCGCGACTCTCAGAGCCAGCTGCACAGGGTCTTACCATAGTACATTCACGACTTGATGAAGACTCTGGAAACAGAGGAGGTGCGGACATGGTATCTGAGGACATGGGTAGTCGGATGCAGGAATAGTATGGTGAAGCGCACATCTGATCGAGTGTCTGGTATCGACCCCAAGACGCAATGATGACCCTCTCGACATCAAAATCTTGCAGTGGCTCTGCTTTGTATGCATTCTGTAGAGCCCCGCGATTTGCGCCCAGTGCCGCGGAAGGTAATGCAGGGCTCTCGGGGTCTGCTCGAATACTTGCTGTTGGCGGGCTGTTCATGTCGATATGGTACATTATGATGTTGTTAGAAACCTAGGTGAGATTAAGAGGAAATGAAACAGGAATGCCGTGCAGCATGAGGCAGTTATAGTTCCAGAAGCATGGGCCGTCTATCTTTATTCTGAGCTTGGAATGATGAAGAGTCCTTCCATTTTGCTGGCTACAAACTATAGTGCTGTCAACGCGAAAATATCAACACCTTTACACCAGTTATTGCTTGATAGGAACAGCTTGGCTTCGTTGGCTGTCATGGTCATTCGCGTAAAAAACATGATATTTGCTGTAGTGTTGGCGACAACAACCAACTTCGTCTAAATTGTCAAGCAAACCTTTTGTCACTACTGATGATGCGCTTTCGTATTTATAAAGTGATGTTACAGATGGAATGCTTCATTGACTAACGGAACATGACTATAGCTATATCAGACAAGGCGGGAAACTTGTAGAACCCTACCCAGAGATTTACTTCCTACCGGCAGCACCACTGATGCCATCTACACTCGTGTTGATTAGTCTTTGTTTCATTCATTCGGGAAGGTTCACTTACTCTTCCTCCTCCAAGCCTGCTGCTCATGAGGAAATATAGCACCAGCCTCATCATAAGCCCTCTTGTTCATTTCATCCAAGAGAATGGCCGCTGCCCACTTGATCTCGACCATACGTTTCTCGGCATGTTGTTTCTTGGAGTCTGACATCGCAGTATCGATAGTCTTCTGATGAATCTTGTTCAACACTGTTCTTGTAGTTTCGATATCTTTGACCGGTGTGCGCCCTCTGTCGGGCAGACCAATGAGTTCGTACGGATCTTTCCGCTTCTCCTCGTCGCTGTCGGAGTCATCATCGTCGTCAGAAACGAGTTGGTTCTGTGGAATCGGGGAGGACCGCCGTGGTCTTTCGCGTTCCGGTAACATGCGCTGCTGGTTGTATGATTGACTATTCAAGTCATTTGTTCGGTTTCTGGAGGCATCCAGCTGTCGCTGTCTCTCCTGATCCCGCCTCTCCTGATCCCGCCTCTCCTGATCCCGCCTCTCCTGATCCCGCCTCTCCTCCTCTCGCCTCTGCTGCTCCCTTTTCGCAGCTGCTTCCTGACGTGTTTGCTCAAACCTTCGTGCAGCATCAATCTTTGCCTGCTCTGTCCTCTCCGTCATCTCACGCGTCTTACGATCCAGCTCGTCTTGTCTGCTCTTCGCTTCGTCAATGCGCAGTATTGTGTCCTCTTTCAAATTGTTTTCAATCTTGGTCCTTTCGAATCTTTCCTCGGCCTTCTTGAGCTTACGAGCCTTCTCCTCCGCTGCCTCAATCGTCTTCTTCGCTTGAGCTTCCAACCTCGCTCGCTCCTTCACTGCTAGTTCATCCTCGTATCTGTTCTTCATCTTCTCGTTGCGATCGTTTTCTTTGTTGAGTCGGTCGAGATGGAGCTCGTTTTTATTTTGTTCGGAGGGCCCTTGGATTTGAGCGGGCGCTGAAGCTACGTGTGAGTGCACTACAACATTCTGGGTGGGAGCCTGGCCAATCATCGCTGGTGGTGGCATCTGCTGATTGATGAAGAAGTTTGGTTGGGGCAAGTTGAAAGAGTAATTCTGTTGCATCTGCTGGAGGAAGGACTGCTGGTGCTGTCCAAGCTGGAGGAAAGCCCATCCGCCATGACTTGAGAACACCAAATCCACGATGTTTTGAGCGGTGATCATCATATCGTCAGCCACTAACGAGAAGCCTTCCAGTCGTAGGACTTCTATCTCTTCCAGTAGGATATGAAAAGCCATGACCAGTTCCTCGTCAGACATAGCACCCAAGGCAAAAATTGAAATCGGGTGCCGGCGAGTCAGCACAGAACGGCGAAATCGGCCTGAAATACGGAGGGTAAACATGTCGCAAGCTGAAAAGATAATTCGGAATATGATACTGATGTGAGCACGATGATGATAGATAGAAAAGCAGGAAGTACGATGGTGAGGGCATGCGCATAGAAAAGGACGGCTTTGTATTGCGTGCGGGTGTGCTCTTCGTGTGATGCTTAATTATGGAATCCCAAGGGCGGCTTCCAATACCCACCACATGTCAATAGTTACGCATGTCAAGCGTCGGCCTGTGAAGATTCGATCATACTCGTACGTGTTTACCGCAAACATCGTGGACACTGTAACGCACCAGGCTTCTTGGGCCACGCCCAACCTTGGAAAAAATGTGGTGAAGCATGGTCAACCCGAAAGATTCACAGTCGTTGATAGCAAGGGCAGAGTGAGATCAGTGTGAGGTGTAGGAACTTGCAGCCTTCCCATCATTGAGAACGCGGAAGGATCAATAGCCAGTGATGTCATCATTACTAAGCAACCCGAGGTCCACTCGCTCATCACCACAGTCGTCCATAATCATAGCAACAAGCACGTCTGGATATGAATCTAGTACTATGTATCTCTACTACAGCAGCTCTGTATGGTAGAAGTTTCTGGCGATGTCAGCGCAAGTAAGTGCTCATCGCTCGACAGCGCCATAGCGTGTTGATCCACAGCAGCCTGAACGCGCACAACAGCATGACATTCTATAGGTCACATCAGACACGCTTTCTCTGAATCGATTTCGTGTTCATTTGATCAAGCTAAAATCCCTCGAAATCTCCATATGCGCAACAAATTCCGACTTCGGCATGCTCATCCTGCCCTCCTCCTAAACTATGTGCTTTCCCCTTTCGCCCAACGTAGCCTGACGCCTCCTACTTAGCTCCATGCTCCGCCTTCCAAGCTGCATACTCCCTGTCGTCCTTCTCTTTCTCCGTCTCAAGTCGGGTTCCGATGACATTACCATATGGGCCATATGATGTAACATAATGAATGTCCGGCAACGCTACTGGGGGCGGTAGAGGAGCTGGGGCTGGAGGGGGTACAAAGGTGACATTTTGCTGTGGCGCTGGAATGGACTGGAAGGTGATGTTTTGCTGTGGAGCTGGGATGGTCTGGATGGTAACATTTGGCATTGGCGCTGTCTGTGTGATTGAGAGAGATGACGACATGCGTGGGAATGTGCCAAAGTTTCCAAACCTTGAGCCCGGGAATATACCTATGGCATTGCCACCCCTTTGTTCAAGGATGCGCAAAATCCTGTTCCTAGTCTCCTCCCAGCTAGGCCCTACAAGGTCTACAAAGATATTGCCAGACATTGAGTCGTCGATTGCATCGAGAAGACCGACGAGCTGATCATCCGAGAGAGGGTTCAAGTGATGGTACGCCCAAGGATGGATGTGCAAAAAGGGGTCAGGTCCGCGCGATGATCGGAACATATCGAGTGTGTATAAGCGGTGTTGTGAGTGGGTTTACCGTGTGTAGCGAAGAGGACAAGTTGGCTTTGCTTGAAGTTGATAGAGATGCGCTTTGTAGTTAGCTAGAAAGTGTAGTGTTTGATAGAGAGAGTGTGTGTTCTAGGGAGGAGATTTATATTCTAAACAGACATTGAATCCTGGGCTCTTGCGTGACACTAACTGCCAGCGTGCTGTGGAAATGTGATCCTCAGACCGTGTCGTTACGCAGAAACACGACCAAGACTTGACGTAGAGAGTGCGATCACTGTGAACAAAACATTCCCTGTGTCGGCGTGTCATGATCTGTATGATGAACGAAGATGTCGGATTATCAACAACATACTTGTACTCACCTTACTGAGTGTATCTAGTTTCGCGACAGCCTCAACGTACATTCCATCTACTAAACACTGATGTACGTATGGACGAGTACATGAGCGGTAAAATTCTCATTTCGCGATTGACACCACCATTAGCAGTACTGGCGCCAACAAGATAAGCGTAGAGTGTAAATATGCATTGTTCAATGTCATCAGTTATGAAATATGTTCAATAAACTATCATCATCGTCATCATCATCATCCCCCAGCCTTCACTCAAGATCATCCACCGTACCAACTAGCCTCAAAAACTATCACTATCACTGTCATAATCGAAGAACCCTCGCCTTCCAAAGCTCCTAGGGCTTCTCACATACCCAATGCGTGGTGTGACAATCCCCCCAATCACAAAACTCTGCACCGGCGTAGATGTCATAGTGAGTGTGGCCACAGGAGCAGGAATGCTGAGCACCTGAGGTTGTTGTAGTTGCTGGTAAATCACGTTCTGCTGCGGCTGCGGCTGCAGCTGCGGCTGTACTTGCTGATGATAGATGACATTTTGCTGTGCGGGTTGTTGTACTGGTGGCTGTTGTACTTGCTGATGAACAAAGACATTCTGCTGAGGCGGCTGTTGCGGCTGAGGCGGCTGTTGAACCTGTATCTGTGTCTGGACTGGCGCTGGTGCTGTTACTGGCGCTGGTGCTGACAACTGAACGTTGATGTTACCACCCCCTCCCACTTCTCCAAGCATCACCGCGCCGTGCGCCCTAAGATACTCTTCGATCCTACTAGCCGTGCCTCGAATGTTGCTTCTTTCCGGAAACTTCTGCAGTTCTCTGTACATGTTGTTGTGTGTTTGAAGAAGGTAGTCCAGACTCTGCCTCTCGATCCAATCCAGGGGCCAAGGATGCTCAGGATAGTCATCCATTCCGCAAAAGTTAGGGGCATGCCTATATGAAAATGCCATTCCAAAAGGCATGATAGGCAAGGTGCGCGTAGATGGCCTCGAGATTATGTGCTATTGCTGTGGGTTTCCTTATCGGGTCGATCTGTCGTTGGCGAGGTTTTGCTGATGCTGGTGGCGGGTGAGTATAGTCAAAAGAAGGTTTGGGAAACATACTTTATGTACTTGGTAGCGTGCAAATTGTATCACGGTCTTGGAAAGCCGTGAACACAAAGCTGTTGCGAAATAGCCTTTTGTGACAGGAGACCTAGCACACTGACGACGGATACGATGTAGGGAACGCCATGAGTTGTCTTTGCCAACGGTGCATACACCACCTCTCGGAACTGTGTTTGCGAACACGATATTCGAATGTTCGATGCCTCTTCACAATAGTCCGCGGAAACGTTGTGCGTGGAACAGCACATGAGTTGAGGTGTTCCTGTCACGTCAGCGAGCCTTCACAGTTTCGCAACTAACGTACCCAACCCATTCCCCACTCTCCCTTACCCACATCCCCCATCCCCGTCCTTTACTACCTCTATACGTCAAATTCCACAGCCTAGGACTATCGCGATAATATAACAACACAGCATTAACAACTGAATACAATGTCAACCTCCCTAACCCTCAACGCCTTCACCCACCCCCACCCCTGGGCACCCACCACCATCCGGCTCTCGCCAACTCCATCTCTCGTCTCTGCCCAAGCCTCCATAACACACCAACTTTACATCCTAGACTGCCGCGGCCATGATGCACGCGATATGCAGCGAACGCTGAACTACATCACAGCCGAGCTACGGATGCGAGAGATCGAAGACTTCGCTCTAGCGGAGGCCAGTCGCAAGATCGCAAGTGCGGAGGGCAAAAACGACAACACGGAACCCTGGATCAAGAAAAAGGACGGAGGTGCACGGATGCGAGAAATGGAAGATGAGGATAAGCGCTGGGAGAAGGAGAGTGGTGGAAACCCGCGGTGGGGTGAGGGTAGGACCGCGCATCTGTACGGCAAGTAAGCGTTCACTTGTCACGGGACCAAGCCCTGATGTAATGATGAACTGGAAATGGATCGAGATCCTGCAATGCGCTATCAAGTAGTAATGTATATGATACATGTTGCGATCCAGTATTGCTTGGGTATCATACCTGTACGCCTGCAAATGCCCAAACTTTCGAGACGCTGTGTCTAATCAATCTTCCGCGTCTCCCCCACCGCGTTCCATGCGTGCTCTAATGTCTCTCACTAGTGCTTTCGCATCTTCTACCTCTACGCCGTCTTGGCAGAGCTCATTTGCCAGTTCCATGGCACGTTGGTACATGCCGCGCATATACTCCCACCGAGCGAGCCAAAGTCGGGCTTTGCTTGTCGTTGCAGTAACACCGACACCACCGGCGGCTTCGGAACCCATTTCTTCGTAGTCCGGCCCTTCTTCTTGTGCAAGCACTAGCTCCATGTATGCCGCGCATTCGTTCATGTTGTTTATCCTCTCATACAGCAGGGCGATCTGGTAGAGTACTTCGGGATCAAGGATACCTCCACCAAGACCAGTGACCTCACTACTCCCGAAAGAGGCACCGACACCGGCATCATAGTATGAGCCCGCGACCAACGCGCGTTTGTATGATCGAATGCCATTCATGATCTTGCCCACTTTGCCGAAACATTGGCCGACCGCCATCCATAGCTTCGGATCGTAGGGTCGCAGGGCAGCGGCGCGTTGGTGATAGAAAAGAGCGTATGAGTGCATCTCCAGCATTTCGTATGTCTGACCAAGTCCATACCAGGCGCGGTAGTCTTTGCGATTGACATCAACAGCGCGCCGGTACGATTCAATAGCGGCGTGGGTGTTCTTCATTTCGACGAACTCGTGTCCCATGAGCGTCCAGGCGGAAAGGAAGGTTCGATCCAGAGTTAGAGCTCGCCGAAAGTACATGACGGCTTTCTCATGCTCCGACTTGAGCGAGTAGTAATTGCCCACCACGCAGCACGTCTCCGGTCGGAATTTGTCGGTCGCTGTGGCGAGCTGTGCCAAAAAGGCAAGCTTGGGTCGCATGCCCATGACATACAAGATGTTGGAGTAGTTGTCGAGATGATCGACCCGATGTGGGTCTGATACGAGCAAGTCGGAGAAGATCTGTTCGGCATCGTCGAAGTCTTTGTTGTGGTAGTGGAGCAACGCCCGTTGGGTCTTCAGAAAGGCCGATGATGGGAAAATGGTCAGTATT